AGGGCTGGCTCCACGGCACAGCAGCCATGTGCTGCTCAGGAGAAACCAGATCCCACATGGTGAACCCACTTGAATCCTGGCCCAGTCAGCCTGAAACATGCCAGGCACTTGTGCAAATGCCCAGGCTCTGACAGGCACAGGACTGGAGGAAAAGGATCCCATCATGACCAGACCCTGAGAAGGTGCTTCTCTCTCTCTCTCTCTCTCATTCTCTACCATGAATAGAAAAGGAAAGAAATGATTGAGCCACTGTGGAATTTTAAAGCCTAATTGGGAAAATAAAGTGAATATACAAATAGATACATCATGGAATAAATAACAGACAAGGTAAATCATAAATGAATGGCATGTTAAAGAAGAGGTATTAAAAGTGAATGCTTTAATTGTTCATAGGATAGATTTCTGTGGGCTGTGTAGTTAGAGAAGCATTTGAGGAAGAAACAGTCTTGAAGATCATTTCAGGAACAGCAATAGACAAGGCAGGCAGGGGCGAGGAGAAGGTAAAATCTTCCTATTTCACACTATAGGAACATGGGACCAGCAGATGGCATAATGGTTACATTGCTGGACTCCCACATGGCCTACCATGGTTTGAGTACTGGACCTGGAAGCTTAAAACTCACACCAGGTGTGTGTGTGTGTGTGTGTGTGTGTGTGTGTACTCAGAATTCCAAGAGAAAAACAGAAGAGAAGGCATTGCAGCATGGTCACCTCCCCAGGGGGTGATTTCTCACTTTCTGTCTCTCTGTCTCTCCAAGCACACAGGCCCTATAGAAAAATCTCTCTTTAAAAAAAAAAAGAACATAGGGATCATCCTAGACTTCCTCCTTGCTGTGCTCACCTCCAGCCACCAACTCCAATCAAAAACACACTCCAACAAGTTTCTCACTCAATCTGGTTTCTCTGTCCCACTGCTGTCCCCAGTCCAGGTCACTACCCTATCTTACCTGAATACTGCAATAGCATTAGAATTGGCCTCCCTAAGTTCAATTACCACGAGTTCCTCAACGCTCCCAATTTATTCTCATCAATGTTAAGATCTCAGGACCTGGAGTTAGACTGCCTGGATTCAAATCCTGACCCCAAACCTTACTCTCTGACGTCCTTAGGCAAGCTGCATAATCTCTCTGTGTCTTAGTTTCTATATATGATAAATGGAATAATTGGTAATATTTGCCATGAATATGTTATGAGGATTAAGTTACCAATGTAAACACTTTAGTACTTGGTGCTCAGTGAGTATACAGTAACTGTTTAGCTGTCATTATTATCTTCCAAATAGCTGGTCAGAGTGACCTACTTTTTGACCATGTCATTTTCCACCTTAAATCTTTTCAGAGGATTCCCACGGCCTTCAGTGGTCTGAGCCCCTTAACTGGGCCTATCAAACTCTCAGAGTCTGACTTTTTCTCTCACTGTGATCTTAGCACCTGCACTGTCCTCTGAGACTTGAAGGCCCAGCCCTGCTGGACGGCTCTCACCCTCCAGCTGGCTCGGGCTGTTTCAGGCTCCGTTCACACATTTTTCCGCCTTTTCTCACCTGTTCTCTTAGGGTATACCTCCAGACATGTTGAGACACAGCCCCATGAGGCCCTAAGCCACATGAAGGCAGGGCCATGTCAGTTTTGCTCATCAGTGTGTCCCCACGGCCCACGGCAATTCATGGTACATATGGTCAGTGCTCAATATCCACTGAATAAGTGAATTAACGAATAGAAGTAAGTCTTTGGCTATGAAATTTTTTGTGTGTTCTCTCATAATCTGCACTCCAAGCAGAGTAGACTTCATTACCCTCTCTATTGCCTGTTCTGGATACCAACACCACTTTATGTGGTGGCTCTTTACGAGTACTTAAGTGAGGGACCAGCAGTTGGCATAATGGCTATGTCTCTGGACTCCCACGTAGTCGACTGTGGTTCACATCCTGGACCCAGTGGCTTAAAACTCACGCCAGGCGTGTGTGTGTGCGTGCTCAAGATCCTGAGAGGAGAATGGAGGAGAAGTGATTGCGGCATGGCCATCCCCCCTGGGGGGTGATTTCTCGCTTTCTGTCTCTCTGTCTCTCTCTGTCTGTCTGGCGAGCGCACGCACCCTATAGCAAAAAAAAAAAAACTCTAAAAAAAAAATCAGTACTTAATTGGTCTTCATTTCCCCACTACATGATGGGTTCTCTGCAAGTACGGAGCACAGGGTCTGGGACACAGTAAATGCTCAGTGCATGTTCGCTCATCAAGTGAGAGCAAAGCAGAGAGCAGTGACCCTCTGGGCTGCCACACTGCTGGACTGCAGTGCTATTCTGAGAGTGAGCTCCACAACCTTTCATTTTTATCCCCAGAGCTTTATGTTCCAACACATTTGATCTACCCAAACTCATTTATTATTTGGTAGTATTTCCACATTTTAACGGATCAAAAATATTTGTGGTCATGGGCCAGTCGGTGGTATGGTGGTTAAGGCAGCTGGATCTTCCAGGGCCTAGTGCACTGATTAAGTCCCAGAAACAGTGGATTCAAAAACATGCTGGGTGCAAAAGTGCGTGTGCCCAAAATCCCAAGAGGAAAATGGAGGAGAGGGATTGCAGTGTGGTCATTCCTCTTGGAAGGGTGCATTCTCACTTTCTCTCTCCCTCCCTCCCTTCCCCCCAGTGAGCACAGCACCCTATGACAAAACTAAAAAAAAGAAAAAAGAAAAAAAAGAAAAGATAAGGCCCAGCAGTTAGCGTAATGGCTATGTCGCGGAACTCCCATGTAGTTGACAGCGGTTCGCGTCCCAGACCCAGTGGCTTAAAACTCACGCCAG